TTTTAATTAGTGCAAAGGGCCAAGGAGAGAAAGAATCACATTGATGCATCATAGAAATTAAAATCATATATTTCCGTTAATGTAAATTAATCTGGCGGAGAAGAATCATGATTTTTTTATATTAAAATTACAAGATCAGAAATCTAAGTTTGTTAAATAAATGCAGGGGAGAAGAATAATAAAATCACCAATGTTTTTGTCGTATATTTTTTGAATTCAGGGGGTGAGAAGAATTATATATTTGTAATGATTTAGTAAACCTAGATTTTATGTGTGTGTGTGTATGTGTGTGTGTGTGAAATTTAAATGGTATATAACATAAAAAAATTAAGTTGTTTAAATATTTGATATTGTATAATAAAAAACAATTTAAATGGACATTCAATTTAAAATATTGTCATTTGAATGTAATGATTTTGTGCATGTTTGTACTCTTTTGAATTTCAAATGAGAAGCTTGCTTCATGCACATATCTTAATATGGTTACACTAGAGGGATAAACTTCAATCGCTTGAGTCAATTGATCGTGTGACATGTGTAGAGGTTCATAATAAAGATAAATATCCTAGATTTTATGAGTTCGTAACTCGATTATTGATGCATGATCCATGTAGCATAAATGATCCTAGATCTCTATATATGGAGAATGATAAATTTATGAAACATTTTCCCAAAAAATTTCTTGATAAGACATCGTTTGATGGGAATAACTACCTGATATAAGAAAGAAGAACCTTAGAGGTCACCACAATATAAAGAAAAAGAATATCGAGTTGGATAATCGAATTTTTGTGACATACAACCCACAACTCTTGATGAGGTTTCAAGATCAAACAACATTGAACATTGAAATAAATCTAATTCAATCAAATATCTCTTTAAATATTAAATAAAGATCTAGATAAAGTAACTGTTGCAGTTACCCAATCTAACTTTGGCATTGTTGATATTATGGTATATTATGAAACAAATAAGTATTCTGATTGTCATTACGTATCTGCATGTGAAGCCTCTTGGATAATCCTCTCTTTTGATATACAACAAAGGTAGTGATCAGTACTGAGATTGAATTTTTATAACCCAAGGCTAAAATTCGTAACCTTTAGACACTAACAAAAAACTAAAAGATGTTGTCGAAGAAATTATAGATAAAGCCTCAATGTTTGAAGCTTGGATGATTTTCAATACAAAATATAATGCGGGATAAAATTTGACGTATGCAAAGAGTTTCGAGAATATTTTATGTACAACCACAAAGTGTGGAAATAGTTCAAAGGCAACAACGACCGTCAATAGGCAGACTACAATACGTGCTTACAGAAACTAGAAAGTTATACTACTTGAGAAGTATTACATGTCCAACAAGGATGTACAAATTATAAGCGCTTGAGGACAGTTAACAATGTTCTACATAATGCATTCAAGGAATAATGTGAAGCATTGAGGTTATTAACTGATGATAAAGAATTTATTGAAAGTATGAAAGAGGTTGTTAAGTCAAGATGTGGGAATCTGCTGAAAAAGTTGTTCGTCACATTATTAGTGACAAGTACCATGAGTCACCCACTAATTTTTTTCAGAAAAATGAGAGATGTAATGAGATTTTTTAATAATAACTTCATAAATGAACCATTCAGAGGGAAAACAGCTATACTTTTTATCCAAATTCTTTCAGGTCTACTCATGGCGTAGAGAGAGGAAATTGTGGGTGCTACCACCAATTCTCACAAATGTGATTGTAATGTAAAGTTTATAGGTTAGCTAAGAATATGAGATTGCATTTATCTACACGCTCTTGCACTGATAGGGACACACAATCTTTTTCTGTATTGATAAGCAAAGTCAAAGATGGAAAACTTGGACAAGTGATCGATGAAACTACTGACGTTGAAATCCCGCTTGAATTCTTGATGCTTGACACAAGTTACCCCCTCAAGAGTATAATGGACTTTACTTATCCAAACCTATTAGAGAACATGAAAAATTATTCTTTTTTGAGAATAGTGCATTATTAGCACCCACAATCGAATTTGTTAAATGACAAATGAATTTGTCATATCCCTTATTCTAAAGGTAAAAAAGAGTACTTAAGTTCTCATTCTTCATGCCAAACATATTTAGATGTAGTTGTTGAAAACGATTAGATAACAGTTCAATTCTTCTTAATGAAATCAAATGTTAGGGGATTCAAACCATAAAATAGTTTTTATAAGGGGTACCGATTATGTTATTGAAGAACATTGACCAAATATATGGATTGTGTAATGGTAAAAGATTAATCATTAAAGAGATGTGAAAGAACATTATCAATGTAATTGATGTTTCGAGAAATCGCGTTGGAGAAAAAGGTTTACATACCCTGAATAAAATTTGGTATCATTTGATAGAATTCTCGATATAATAGTCTTATGTTTTGCTATGACTATAAACAAAAGTCAATGTCAAACATTGTCCTTTGCTATATTATTTTTAACCAATTCGGGATTTACTCATGGTTAGCTTTATGTTACTGTTTCACGAGTAAAGAAAAAGACATGATTAAAAATATTGGTTCTAGATGAAAATAAAAACGCTTACAACGATACAAAAAATGTTGTGTACACTAAAGTCTTTCAAAAAATTTGGAATTAAAAAAGATTTTTTCGAGTACACTTTCAATTTCTCAAATATTATATTCTACTTTGTC